ATTGTAACTATATTGTAATTGTATTGTTAAAACCTATAACTGTAAAATAATAATATATAAATCATATAATAATAATAATATAATAATTGTATTGTTAAATTTTTCAAGGTTTTAGCTAAGTATGTTTATGTCGTAAAGTTATTTTAATTAATAAAAATATTTTATTTACCTTTACAAAAACAATGCATCTTGCACTTGCTACATTTAGAGCAACTTGTATCCATTCCACATTTAGTATTTGAGAGGGTTCTTTGATTACAGGTGGGGCCTTAGTTAAATGGAATCATTAGCAATAAATATAAGTTTAACAATTAAATTTAATTTTATTTAATAATCTGTATATAATATAACTACAGTCAGATCTCCTGAAATAACATCGTAAAACCTAACTTGGATTTAAAAAATGCATATATGAGACCCACTATATATATTTGAGCCAGAGCTAAAAGTTCATTCAAAGATCTGACTGTATAATACATTTGAACTTATAAAGGTTTTGATGTATGTTTAAGTTATTGAATTCTTTCAATTAATTTAAATTCTTATTTCTCTTTACAAGAACAATACATATTGCACTTTTGACATTATAAAACAAGAAAACGATATTTACCTTTACAGAAACAATGCATTTTGCACTTATTATATTCAAAACAACTTGTACCCATTCCACATTTAGTATTTGAGCGGGTATATTGATTACAGGTAGAGCCTTAGTTAGATAAAATTATTAGTAATAAATATAATTTTCAACAACTGATCTATTTAATAACTCTGTGCATAATACTAATTAATTTGTTATAAAGTTTCGATTCATATTTAAATCACAGTTATTTATTTATAGTGGTTTAGAAATTCTGTATCTTTATGATTGTTAAAGTAATAATTATCGCTTATACATTTAATTGTAATTGTAGTGCAGGTATATGTGTAAAGATGCCAACAATCTTTTATAATTGAATCTTGACCAATCCCTCAAAAGGTTGTTTAAATCCTTACACATAATAGAATTGCTTACAGAATTTTCAAATCGCAATAATTAATATTAAATTTTTACGTATAAATAGAGATTTTATTTACCTTTACAGAAACAATGCATATTACACTTGTTACATTTAGAGCAAGTTGTATTTATTCCACATCTAGTATTGAGATAAGTGTTTTGATTACAGGTGAAGCCTTTATTAAATAAAATGATTAGTAATAAATATAATTTTTTAACAAGTAAATCCTAATCTTGCAAATACTGACTACTGTATTTGCCCATAATAACGTGCAGGGCGTTATTTTGAGACACAGCCCGAGTTAAGCTTAATTCAGACCAAAATTCAAAACTACACCCCTGCGCATTATTACGGGCAAATACAGTATGATACAGTTAAGCTTATAAAAAGGTTTGGTACATATTTATTTTATTGTGTTATATTAAATTCTAAATATAAAAAAGATTCTATTACCTTTACAAAAACAATGCATATTGCACTTCTTAAATTTAAAGCAAGTTGTATCATTTTCACACTTAGTATTGAAGCGGGTATTTTGATTACAAGTAGATCCTTGATTAAATAAAATTATTTGTATTAGTAAACAGTAAATATAATTGAATATTGCATTAAACTTGAATTAACTCTATTGCAGTTTTATAAAAGGTTTATTATGTGCTTAAGTATAGCAATTTTTAATTAATTTCAACCGTTTTGACATATTTTTAAGCTACTAAATCGTAAAACAAGATCTTAAAATTTACCTTTGCAAAAGCAATGCATAGAGCACTTGGTACATTTAGAACAAC